GCAAGAGGTATTTCTAACTCGAAACATCGCGTCCATCGTGTCTTTGAAGAAAAGTATCGAGATAATTTATTTTTTTTTTCCCGAATAAATTCGTATTTTTCCTCGCGATTCGTCTAAATTTGTAATATTTAAATTAAAATATTTAAATAAATAACCGATTTAGAATGAAGGAGTAGACGATAAAATTCTGGAAAAATTTTGATTGCGATGCATCTTCTAAAAGGCGATGTTTGCAATTGCAAGAGATATTTGTAACTCGAAACATCGCATCCATTCTTTGAAGAAAAGTATCGAGATAATCTATTTTTTTTCCCCGAATAAATTCGTATTTTTCCTCGCTAACTATTCGTCTAAATTTGTAATATTTAAATTAAAATATTTAAATAAATATTTAGAGTGGAGGAGTAGACGATAAAATTTTGGAAAAATTTTGATTGCGATGCATCTTCTAAAAGGCGATGTTTGCAATTGCAAGAGGTGTTTGTAACTCGAAACATCGCGTCCACTCTTTGAAGAAAAATATCGAGATAATCTATTTTTTTTCCCCGAATAAATTCGTATTTTTCCTCGCTAACGATTCGTCTAAATTTGTAATATTTAAATTAAAATATTTAAATAAATAACCGATTTAGAGTGGAGGAATAGACGATAAAATTCTGGAAAAATTTTGACACGATGTATCTTTTAAAATATTAGAATCAAATGTTTTGGAATAAAAATTTTGCAAATTTTCATGTACATCGAATAAAAACGAACGAATAAAGGATTCTCGATCTATCTGCCATTATATATAGGCTTAAATGTACGTTTCGGTGTGAAGATCGTTACGGGTTTCACGACTGTCTTTTATTTAAATGTCTTTTATTTCCGACCTCTTTATTGGAATCGTCAGACGATAACGCGAAACGAATTTAGTGGAAGGAAACGGGCCTCGCTCGTTGGCTCGAGAAAATGGCAATTCCACCGGCAATTAGCATAACAGACGGTTCCCGCGAGTATTTCGGTTGGCCGGGTTCGTTCCTAATTTTTCGCTCGTTACGCACGCACGAATAAATAAAAAGAAAAAGAAGGGGGATCGAAACGATCTCACGAATTCAACTGTTAAGTTGAATAACAGTTCGGTACCTTGTGATTGAAACGAAGGCAAAAAAAAAAAAAAAAATCAATCATCCGGCGGGCATGAAAGTTCCTCCTCCTTTCAGATTAGCCACACACACACACACACACACATACCTTTTCACGCTCCATTCGAGGTAAATCGCGTAGCAATCGGCATGATAATCGCCTCGTCCATTCCAAAGATCCGCGATTTTTCTCCACGAAGGAGCGCCACTGT